ACACTGTTCTTTAAATCGGTCGAATATAACAAGTGCAGGATGGTTATCTGGTAGAGACAGAGCCTTTCTAGTTTCTATCACATAAAGTAAAAGTATCAGTTCAATATAATCCTTTGTTGTCTCTTCATTCGCCCAATGATTCTCTGTGTGGGTGACATGCCACTTATCTGGAAACTTCACATGGGGAAAACATTTTTTCGTCTTTCCAGCATACACGACTTGTGGTGAAAGAAATTTTCCAGATCTATTTCCAGCAAGAACAACAGTAATTTTGCCATTTATCATTCACACCAGCTATTGCTACTCTTGAAGAACCTTCTTTTGCTAAAGTCCAGTTACCAACTGGAATATAATTAAGGCCTGTGTGGTCCTAATTAATTATTAAAGTCAACGATGGTCTGAAGATCAAAAACAAACTGTTCCTTACATGCATTGAACTCAGCGACACTAACTTTAGATTTTGTATTGCCTCTTCTCTTAACATAGCCCATACAACGTAGAAAACTTTTAGCCCATGACTTATTACAGTGTATATGCCCTCCATTTTCTTGTAATAAATTTGTATCATAATTTTTAACAATTCCTATGGCTCCAGCTCACACAATTGCCGAGTTAATTACACCACCATTCTCTCTCAATGCTGTAATGTAACTTTGTACATGAACATCTAATTCTTTCCCCAAATGTAGAGGAGGTCCCCTTCTCTCACCACTTAACTTGGCTACTGTCATATCATCAGAAAGCTTTCTTTTTAGTGCCAGCTCCCTCTTATAATTATTGCTCCATGTACGTACTGTGCTCTCCTTCAAAGGACGATTACTAAACTCTTCTTTGAAAAACCTGATAGTGCTTGTTACACCCATTTCTGCAGTTTTTTTTTCCTATCTTCAGTTTCTCTTATATATGTGGTAGCTCCCTCATTTGCCTAATTCCTTTGATTTACTGGGCTCCAATAGTGGTTCCACTTCTTTGTTGGCTCCTTTAATAGCTGCTGATAGCATGTGATGGCTAAGTTGTCCATCAGGACTAGGAAGAAGACTAGCTTTCTTGAAGTACTAGTAAAGACTCATTTCTTCTACACGTGATTGGGCGTGACTGATGGGGTGTGACCAGACATGCAGATTGAGTAATTATTGCCCACTCTAAATCTAAAATTTTTTTCACGAATGGTGACCGGAACCATGAAATTTGCAAAATATAATTCCCTTGAAAAATAGGACCCATAGGGTATCATTCTTTGACGTAATTGATTCTCACCCAAAGGTCATCCACATACACAGTCATTACAAATGGCTCTCCAGTGATAGAAATGTAGAGACACAGATTACTGTTAAACAAGTTACTACTTTGAGTGTATTCATTAAGGTCTCTTATATAGACTGTTTATGGTTTCCTTTTTGGAAGTGGATATTGGTCCGGCAGCCAGACGCCTACTTTAGGGCTATAGATCCGGCAGTCCGTTGTTCTCCGTAAAACAGCTTGTGCGCATGCGCAATAGTGCAAAATGTAACTTAGTCTTTTTATCAAGAAACCCTAATCCCAAAACCCTACAATCCCGGGGGGTAAGATGTACGAGAGGGTGCTCTAAAAACTAAACACTAAACCCCAATCCCAACCATACGACCCCGGAGGCTAAGATGTACGAGAGGGTGCTCTAAAACCTAAACACTAAACCCCAATCCCAACCCTACGACCCCGGAGGCTAAGATGTACGAGAGGGTGCTCTAAAAACTAAACACTAAACCCCAATCCCAACCCTACGACCCCGGAGGCTAAGATGTACGAGAGGGTGTTTATTTTTTTTTTAAGTAAAAAAGTGATTTACAAAAAAGAAAAAAAAATCAAACATTGCAGCATAGTTTTAGTCAATAGTCCCGACAGGATTCGAACCGTTAACCCCATCCGTGCAATCCAGACCAGCCTCTCCACTGCACCACCGCAACCCTGCTGCATTAACGTTGCTGATTGTCGTATTTATACTTGACATCTGTATATAAAATCGTGTATTACTGCCGGACCAATAGCCCTGAAATAGGCGTCCAGCTGCCGGACCAATATCCACTTCCTTCATTTTTCTAGATGCTATGTTTCAAAAGTAATAATATATTTTTTGCAAGTGTCTCAAAGGGTGTGGTTTAATTTTTAGTGAGAACTGAGTAGTGAAAGAATAGGTTATTTGCCAAGGAACACAAGCAGGATGTCAGTGGCATTGATGAGACATTGTTACATGATTGTAAAGCTTCATATTTATGCTACCACAGAGAACTATCAATATAGAGATGATGTACATTACAGTATGTGCTGTATATTACAGTATGTACTGTATGGTGAATTTGTGATACAGCAAGTGCTTATAATAATTGTTGTCAATGTTTTTATTGCTATTTTTATAGTTAAAATTTGTTGAACGACTCAATAATAATCAATCTATTGGGTGACTGAAGAATAGAATAATCATTATATATAGTGATAATTTTAATAATAATTTTTGTAGTACTTAGCACAGTGCATTCTTTCTTTTAATAGTAGATCTTCACTTTTTAGAACTAGAATATTGATTGTAACTCTTCTATAGTTGTAGACCTGAGCTTTAGTAAGTAATTCAACTGGAATTCTTCACTATCTTGCTTGTGCCATGCTTATACACGTGTAGTGTAAACGTCACGATACATCACTTCCAGCGCCAAGGATTGAGCGCATCCTGTTTCATATCCATGTGTGTATGTAGTATCTATGTTGCCATCTTACATGCCTCAACGTGGTTAACTGATTAGTGATTATAAAAACTAATTAGACTATCATTATGAGATCATCATGCATAACAACAATCAATGACATCATCATTTCAAGATGGTTGACTTCCTCTGCCTATGAATCAAAGGAGTGCCTCTGACTGCCTCAACTTGCATGATGCTTGATTGGTAAGTAACAATTGAGCTCACAGGGTCAGGTGAGGCATTGCCCCTCCATGCCTCACCCTGCCTATGCCTATGACCAAATCTCTTACATTTCTTATAGAC